GGGAAAGTATCTGAAAAATAAGAACAAATTGTCATTGCACGTGGGCAATTTTTTGACACTGATTTATGATATTAATCGATATTCGATTTTCGGTACTGATTTACTCTTTCATTGTACTGTAAGAAATGAAAAAATTGATACGATTCGTTCATTTATCCGCGTTAATTTGATGAATATATTAAATATTGATCGGTTTTCAATTTTCAGTACTGATTTACTTTTTCATTCCTGTATAAGGAAAGAAAAAAATGGATATAAATCGTTTATTTATCCGCGTTAATTTGATGAAAAAATTAGGTATTGATCGGGCTTCGATGTTTAGTACTGATTTATTCTCTGATTTCTTTATAAAAGAAGAAAAATTGATACGAATCATTCGTTTATTCGAGTTAATTTGTTGAGTAAATTAGAGGGGTAAGTACCTGGGAAATGAGAACAAATTGTCATTGCATTTGGACAATTTTCTGACACTGATTTGTGGTATTAATTGATATTCGACTTTCGGTACTGATTTACTCTTTTATTTCGCTATAAGAAAATTAATATGAATCGTCCATTAATCCGCGTTAATTTGATGAATAAATTAGGTATTGATCGGTCTTCGATTTTCGGTACTGATTTATTCTCTCATTTCTTTATAAGAGAAGAAAAATTGGTACGAATCGTTCATTTAACCGAGTTAATTTGTTGTGTATATTACAGCGGTAACTACCTGAAAAATGGGAACAAATTGTAATTGGACAATTTTCTGACACTGATTTATGGTATTAATCGGTATTCGATTTTCGATACTGATTTATTCTTTCATTACTCTATAAGAAAAGGAAAAATTGATACGAATTGTTCATTTATGCGCGTTAATTTTTTTTTATTATATATAAGTGGTCCATGGGACGATTAAATATTCGAATACATGTTGCCGTATCAAAGTCTCCTCTATAATAAACGATTTGATACGTCTGGAGATGCATGATGTATCGTTGCCCGCATCCCATTCCCTTCGTCCTGCTTCCCTGTATAAAATGTCGAATTGTAACATATTAAGAAAAGTCGAATTGTAACATATTAAAAAGTATTGACATTTTGAATATGTCTAAATTCTGAATCTTTTTGATCCGAAGAAAAGGATTGAAAAGTATTAGTTCCCATTAAATTTTACTGCGCTAAATACAAGACGGTCTCTTTCGCCCAGGTGCCTCACCAAGGAAATTTCTCTGGTACGCTAAATCCCGTAAAGCCCGTATCAGACTATAGATTGGGATTGAGATTAGATTGAAATTTGACCAATTGAAAAAGAGAAAATAATCTCAAGTATAGTAAACTTACTCCTGATTGGTTAAATTTCAATCCAATACTCAATTCCAATTCGTAGTCTGATACGGGCTTTAGGCCATCAGTCTTTGTAGTACAATCTCGTCGGTGCATAAGGTTTATATTACCTACATATTTTGAATACATACATATTTTGACACATTTTCTTTGGATATTATATCAAACGGATTTTGCACGTAATATCCTTCGGATCACAAAGACATTATTATTATGATCATTTTGATTTGTTTGATATTCATTAAGAATTATCTAGATCGCAACCGCCATGTTGAACGACTAAATTGTCGTGTGAAATGTTTCAATTTTCACAAATTCATATGAAATTTTTCATTTTTCACTAATTCACAAAATTCACTTTCACTCTTCACTAGTTCACGCTAGGGAAAAAATTCATGACCGCTGCTCTGAGCAGCTGCAACGCTTTTCGAATCATCTATGTTGGCGCGCTTTTACTCCTCAGATTTCTGTCATTAATAACTCGATAATTATTGCGAATCTCGCAAAATGGTATGGGACTTTTATGTTTGTCTCAACTTAATCTACTCTCACATTTCGGGTTGGCAGCTAATTACCGTACACTTCGTATGATCTCCATGATATTAATCATACACAATGTCAATTCTTTTTTTCTTGCACATGTTAACATGTTAATTCATGTTATAAACGCGTAACAATGTGCAAGACCGTACTTGTCATTGGCCGCGTTCAGTAGAACAAAGTGATCAGAGAGCGCTTAGTGATTATTGTCTGTGATTGAAGCATTCCTTTAGATTCTTCATAGACCCAGAAGTATTTACCAATCAGGAGCGAGATTCAGTGGAAAATCTAGTAATGTTGTCCAACTAGTGGGTGCATTCAGTACTACACCGCTCACTGAGCGCTAAGTGAGCTCTTGCATCTGATTGATATATATTTTTTAAATCTAAAGGAATATACCAATCAAATGTAAAAGCTCAGTGAGCGGTTGTAGTACTGAATGCACCCATTGAGACTGCATTCCGATATTTACTGTCAGTACTGAAAATCTATAGCATATGTGACACAAACTATATATTTTCAGTACTGGTAGTGAATATCGGAACTCAGCCTGAGTCTGCTGAATGCAGCCACTATGTCCGCGAGTGTACTATCTTACACTTTCCGACTAAAAAAAACAGACCATAAATCTCTGTAATACCGGCATGACAGATTTCTTAACCTCGCGTATGTCATTTTTTAACAATTTATTTCTCGCACAGTAGAGCCGAGCGGCGATTTTAATTTTCAGATTCGGCTTCTACACGTCAAAATACACAAGATAGGTGAGTTTGAGCGAAATCCAAGATGAGGCTCGTCTTCTAAATAATTATCCTTTTTTTCTTGCAAAATCATGTTCTACACACCAAAATACACAATTGTGCAAAGTTTCTACGAAATTGGTGAGGAGGCCCATATTCTTCACAATTATCCTAATTTCTTTGAATTTTCAAAGTTTCTTTGTCAGTAAATCTTTTTTGTATTTATTAAAAAGGTTAATAAAAACAATTTTTCATAATTGTTATTTATTAATTATAAAGAATCAGTATTTTTATGATTAATTAGTTGGAGATGTATCAGATTTTAAAAGTAAATTTTAATATTTTTTAATATAATAACAGAGGTGTTGTAAGAGATTATAAAATTGATTTAAGATTCATATTATTGAATCATATCTTTATATAAAAATATTATCTCAGATGTATGTAGAATGATAAATAAAATATTAAAAAATAAGAAGGCATGTATACAAGGGAAAATATAAAGTTAATATTTTACAGCTTAATATAGATAAATTTAATGCTTCAATAGGAGAGTGTATATATTTATATAAAGCATAATGCCAAATTAAATTAACAATTTGTGAATAGATTAAGCACATTTTGACAGATACAATTTTGCATTTGCTAAACAAGTTGACAAAATTTTTCAACCTTTTTGTAAGAATATCAACAATGATATGGACTTCAAAAAATTAATTCTTCATAAACACAAGTTTACAATGTTCACAGTGCGTAGATAAAATATACACGATGAAAATATATATATATAAAAGTATTTGACATTATTTTAATTGTTGAAGGATTGGATATTGTTTAATAAAATTTTATCTTATATTGAATTGTAATAATAATCTGATTTGTAATTACATACAATAAAGTAACATTGCGTACTTGTTACAAAATAATGTAAATGGACGGTTCTATATAACAAAAGCCATTGTGTTTTACAATATTACAAAACTTCTTAATCCTAATTATAAGTTGCTGGCTTACTTGATTGGAACGGAGTACTGATTGCAGAATAAATTGAAATCCTTCTTTTGCTTTCAGCTCATCGCTATTTAGTTAATAGATAATATAAGAAGGGGTCACCTCAAAAAATATGCCCTACTTATTCATCAGTCTAAAGTTAATCTATAATATACATTCTTATTCAGTTATCTTACTTCTTATTATCTCCTTTGTTTCTTATTATATCGTTCATTAAGTACAATTTTTTTTAATACAATTCAATATGCAATCAAATTATTTTTCTTTCTTGTATAAGATTAAATGAAAAGAAAAAAAATATTAAGAAAGATTAATGTACGTCTCCGCAATTGCATTAATAAATTAAGGAAAATATTTATAGAATTTTTTACTTTCTTATATAAATTTTTAAGCACAGACATATAAAGATATCTCGATTGTAAATTATCAGATTACATATATTCGAGAAATGTACATACATTTAAACGAAGCTTTTAATAGAATATTCTTTGCATATGAAATTGTTATACACATTTTATATATATATATATGCATATATATACATATACATATACACATATACATATTTGCATTATATTTTATTGTATAAATTATTGCACTTTTCAAACGTCAATCTACAAAGAGTATCACTGATTCAAGTAATTTTCTTTGCTCACATAAAAATATTAAATGTATTTTTGCTCAGGAAATGTTTGATAGAGCATGTAATTTAACTTTGATTTTGTTTTATACATAAAGTAAAGGTATTTATAACATGTATATTTAACAATTTGTGTGTGTGTGTGTGTGTATATGTGTGTATGTATGTGCGCATGCATATGTATGTGCACATGTATGAAATGTGTCATTTGTTGAGTACCTTTCAATTTTAAAATATAACGATAAAAGAAGACACAGATTGCATTGACAATAAAATTTTATGAAACTTAACAGCTAAAATAAGGGAAATTATTCATAAATCAAATATCAAATTTTTGTACGCTTGTGCAATCAAGAATTCATTTGATTTTAACATTTCCTATTAATAGAAACGATGATGTCAACACACTCTGCCAAATGTACATATGCATAAATATATTAAGATAATTAAATTCGTCTCTTTAGTCTTCACAGGAATATCACAATCATTTGTAAATTTTATATATGTATTTCTCTCCTGAAATAACGTGATGTATTAATCTTTCATCTTTAAAAAAATCGTATTAATTACTAATTTAATTTTAATTTATCTTAATTTCTCACCAGAGTTCATTAAGAAAGATTAAGAGAAAGAAGAAAAGTCGCATTTATTAAAAATTTATTAAAGATTAATTAAAAATTTATGTCATTATTTCAGGAAAGTAATTAATCAAATTTTCAATCTAACTTACAAGTTATATGTCCACGTTCCTTTTGCCGATTGAATATAACGAAGTGGCGCAATTGTATTCCTAACATCCAGACTTTTTGATCTTCTCACGCAGTCTTGGCTTAGAACTCTGCATCCCTGGCTTAAAATAACATTGTTGTAGTTACCGCGAGGAATGCTGTCACTGCTCGCTACACGTCTGACATCGTTGCTCTTTCTCTCCTCGTAATTTTCCGGCGGTAAATTATCTAATACGGAGTCTTTAATTTTATACACGGATTGATTATTTCTGAGCAATCTCGGGCTCGGGTCAATCGAGACGGTTTTCGGGCTGTGTGTTGAGCAAACTTTTTCGGCACATCCATTGCGTGGGATTTGAGATTTTTCGTTATTTTCGTCGAATAACTGACGGTCGATTACATAATGCTCGTGATTGTTGTAATTTCCATCACTGTCAATATACTGATTAAGAGTTATCGTTGAATCAAGTGAATCGGAGAATTCCGGACTGGGAACGGAAGATATGCTGCTGATATGAGAGAAAGCGACCGTCCCCTGTGAGTTTTGGGGACGGTGTCAGAAACATCATTCCTCTAGTTCATCCATTCGATTTCTAACGGCCATCTCTACTACTTCCAGACTCGGGTAGTCTAACTCTTTGACCAGACACAATACAGCAGATAATATATTCGAATTCTAAAGAAAGAAAAATAAGAAAACGGAAAAGTACTATTAATACATAATACAAATGTATCAGATTCGATAATCGTATTATATTTTAAGATAACACACCCTTGTTACTGGTCGTCTGTGATAATGAAATTGAGATCTGCATTTTTCTTTATCAGTATGTCTCACCCAACCAGGTACTTGAGTAGTATCTTCCTGTGGACATTAAAACGCATTAATTTTATGAAGCATTCTTGCGGATATTGTGATCTTCTACTTTGTTTAGTTAGCCTATGTTCACACTGACCGTTTAATTTTATACTAAATTATTTTTCTGGATGATACGCATATAAACGATCGTACATCAGTACAGTATATCTTGATGCGTATAGAATCAGTTTAGTATCTTGTTGTCTACATGTATCATCAAAATTACAACAATTTAATAGAAAGTATTAACAACTACGTCAATTTTTTTAATAGTAATTACGTTATCTAATAGAAAGTTTGTTACATGTATCAAACAATTGTAAACAAGCATTGTGAATAAATTTTGTGATCGTATCGGACTTATCGTATGACAAGAATAATATACAGGGTGGCCTAAAAATCAGTCTTTAATCTTCAAATCTTCCAAAATTAAAAACTTTCTTTTTCAAGTGACATATGTTTACAATTTTTTTTGTATAGTACTCTCAAAAATTTGAAATAATAACCGTTTTTTAGATCACTATATAATTATCTTGAATGTCTTACTCTTTCGATATTATGATGAACTGCCATTCTTCTTGTTTGTGGTGGTAACTGAGGTTGCGAGTCTTCATATTCTAATTTTATTCTCTCGTCGTAGTCATAGTTATTTCTTTCGCTCCGTCTATCATCTGCAGGTTCATTGACAGCGTATTGTGTACGGTGTTGCGGTGTTGACATATAAACACGTTGAGATACTTCGTTTCCGCCATAATCGGAATAACCTCGCCTTTCATCATATTCTCCGTTATGTCGTGATACTACCGGACGATCATCGTAATCCTAAAACATTAAGTTATAAAAATAAGTTTTATAAAAATAAATATATACAAATATAACATAAAATGTATCTACAAGCTGCATTCAAGAAAGTTTTAATTTTATAAAAACTTTGTTATCATATATAACTTACAACTGATATGTGTTAATAACTAAGATATGCAGTTATATTAAATGATGGTAAAAAAAGCTAAAAGGTAAAAATTAATTGTTAAATACTTTTCTAGTTCTAGTTTTCTAGTTATATGAAACAGCATATGTATAGCTACAAATATAATGGTATTTTAGTAAAATTTTGTATGAAATTTTTACTTAATTGTAATTATCAACTAATGAGTAATGTTATTATTATATTCTAAGAAAATCTATTTCATGCTATTTATATAATATATAATTTATATAATGAGAATAATATATGAATAATAAAAACCACGATAGTTAAGAACAAATTACTACCTTGTATCAATAATGTGCAACTATAGTGAATATACCTTGGATATTTCAAGAGTGTTAGTGGCCGCAGTTTCATTGTTGCTGCGTGACTCTGTACGCACAGTGTCATCTTTGCTCTGTTTCTTTGATTGGCCATTCTGTAGCTGTTAGTGTAATTAGATGATAAGACCAAAGTTTAAGGATTAAAATTTAAAGTAGAGATAAGATCTGAAGTTCAAACATTCAAAATTATCTGTACTGATCTGTAAACTGATTTGCTATTAATATAAAATTATTACAAATCAGGAAAAATTAGTAGATTAATTACATTTTCATATCTAAGTAGTACAAAATTGTGGCGTTAAAAATGATATTATGATAAGAAAGATTTGTGTGTGTAATAGTTATAATCTATTAATAACATAGTAGTTTAAGTTGGGAAATAATTATTAAGAAATATTTTCACTCCTATTGTATGAGATATATGACTGACCTCATATGCATACTGATTATTTTGTGAATAATGATGAGATGATGATGCATTATAATTTGCGTTCCTTCTGTCAGGGTCATATTCTTCGTGTGAGTGTTGCGTCTCATCGAAACTTCTCTAAAAGAACATCTCTATATATACATGCATTATTTTACTTTAATTATCACACAATAACTATTTCCTAAGTTACTAAATGATATATTTTAGTCACACGTACACATACAAATAAAATCAGCAAAAAGAATAAAATAAAATAAAAACTGCAGTAAGCTATGATATTACCTGATCGCTACAAGAACTGTATCTCCTAGGTTGCTCCAATTCAGTTTCTTCAATATATTCAATTGGTATTTCCTAATTTAGTAAATGTCATTTAGTATTTTAATAATTGTTAAAAATACATTTACATGAAAAATCTATTAATTTGATGTATAATTTGCATCAATGTTTATGTAAATTTTAATAGTTAAATGTGGCCATTAATTTTAATTATATTATATAATGTAAAGCAAACACAAGGATAATAATGTATAAGTAGACCCATTTTCTTTACGATAACTCATGAGAGTGGTTTTATAATAATAAATAGTATTCCATCACCGATCTTTTGTCCAATGATCTGTTATTTTATTTAAAGTGTTAATTGAATTATATTCCTACATCTGGGCTTACTGCATCTGATTGCGGAGAAGTATCCATTTCAAGAGGATGTACCAAGGGCCGTCCTATTGCCATTGCAGTTTGTATTTCTTCAGGCGATACTTCTTTATCATCTAATTTCTCAAGGTTTGGCAAAGCCCGAAGTACTGTTAATCGATATCTACAAAAACAACAGATTACAAAGCTTCTATATTTATTTCATTGCATATTACTTATTCGTTACATTGAATATTTACCCTTCTTTCTCTGCACATGGATTCTCACCAAGCCACAAATTCCGTAAATTAGGTAATCCTTGAAGATAGCAAACTTCATTTAAATCTTTGATATTATTTCTCCTAATAAATAAATCCTGAAGCTTCTGGCAATATTGAAAATCGGCAAGTGTATTAATATTATTTATACTGAAAATAAATATATATACATAATTATTTTCTTTCATTTTCACAAAAATTTATTCATTAAATTAATTGTTTTAACAATTATTTATGTAGAGGAATGAGAAATACCAATATTAGTAATTTAAATTAATATACTAAATTATACATATAATAATTTATATATTCTAATACAAAAATATGCAAACTTTATTTTACCTAATCATACTTTTTTAACTTCCTATATATTTACATGATGCATAATATGAGCATGTGAATCAAAGCAAGTTGGTATATAAATATAGGAAGAAATGATATTATTGTATTAATACATGCTTCTTTTACTTTTTTAATATTATGTGAGAAAGATCATTTTTTCTTAATAAAACAACATGCCTTAAGCACTTTGTATCTATAATAATTCATTCAGAATAAATATGTATAAATACAGAAAAAAGATACAAAGGTTCTTATTAGGAATGTTGAAATTGACATTCTGAATTTTTAATTACATATTGAAAGAGAAAGTTACATTCACAAACATAGTTTCTATGTAACACATATCTTCTCAAAACTACATCTTTATGTACAAAAATAGAAGTTATGTACACTTTCATTTCTTCTCTTGTTCTTTCACAATGACAGACTAATTTGATACTGTACCAGATAATGGTGCACATTTACTGTTACATTGAAAATATAAGAAATAATAGTTCTTTCAAATTTCTGAGTTAGATCTTTTATTAGAGATCTTTAAGAGTTCTGTTGTTTGTACGTTTCAATGTTACTCAGATGAATCACAATGAATTCAAGACACATGTAGGCAGAACAACTTCTGAAGTTGTGGGTTGTGACCATGAGTTTAATACGATCATGTCCATAGTAGGAACATGCTGCAGCCTCTGTTTTTATAAGATGAAAAATAGCTTAGATCATTGATTATATGATTAACAGAATGACTTCATTTCAATACATATATAGTTAAAATTATGATTTGCATAGTTGGTACTCAATTCTCAGAGTCTTGTATTAATATTGTAGTAAATCAAAATTATGCAACAGATTTGCCATAGTACTTTCTTTTATTTTGCTAATTGTTTATGCAATTGATTTCGATGACTTTTGACTTACCTCAATGACAATACCTCTACATTCTTCATTTTTCTTAAGATGCTAACATCTGTCAATTCTGTTCCCCTGTATAAAAGGTTACATTAACAGAACTCGATATCACAAATTTTTTTATACGATAGCTTTCCTACACAATTCACCGAGTATTTTTGCGCGTGTTTCTTTGTATGTCATATCACGGATATAGCAATTAGTCACGCTTGGCTGTTCATAATGACATTTCCTTTTTTTCCCATAGCGGCGTACAAAGATTTGATAACCTTACCGCGCGATTTTTACACAGAGAATCTGAACAAACATGTCGATCACACCGTGACGATCGAAGATCATTGAGGATTGACAGTTCGCCGTCAAAGGTTCACGTCAAACATCGACGTAAATACTCACCAGCAATTGAGTTTCTTTACGGCGGAGAAGTCAGACATTCGTGTGCGAGCCACGACCATCTCCTCGGTCAGTTTTACCATCGTGTCATTCACGTTTGGACGTCGTTGCGCGATAAAAGGTCGATGTACTTCCGCCTGATGAAAACTCCGAGTTAAATCGCTACACGAAAACGCGTATCATCACAGTAAATTTTCGAGCTAACAGACACTCACACGACTTCTATCCGTTCGCCATAATGGCTTACCGTCGACTAGTCGTGAAGTAGGCTGCCAGCGCTTTCACTGATTTCCTGCATCTGCTTGTGCGCAGTGCACCACTACGAGCATAATACATGTGAGACATCGAAGAAAATGCTCTATTACGGATAAATTCTGTGATAAGTGCATTACTGCAGTTATATACGTCGCCTCATCATCGACATTGATTCATATGTAAATTATGTGATTTATAAAAAGGTTTTACGCATACACATTTATATTATATATTGTATGCCTTTTAATCTTTTTAGAGATTTATTGAAGCCAGAAAAAAATGATTGAATTTTAAAGTGACATAAACATAATATCTATCGATTTTCCCCGACGAGATTTCCCCTTTTCTTATGGAATTTCTTTATGCTGAATTTTTATTCACATAATGTTCGTTATAGCTCCATTGATAATGTTAAAGTTAAGGAAAGAAATTGAATGTATATCTTTAAAATGTGAATAGGTTAAATGTGAATAGGTCTAAATGTGAATAGGTTAATAAATTCGACTCATTAAATATCGACATATTTTAACTTCCAATTGGAAAAACTAAAATCGCGACAAGAATATAATTAAATCGACCATGCAAATGAATCGTAAATTTTATAATGCATATCACATATCAATCGGATAATTACTACATATTATTATAGTATATTATTTTAATTTTTATTGAGCGCTAACTAAATTTAATTAATTTTTTAATAGAGAGATGAGTTTCCTTTAACAGCGTTCAACGATCAGCGAGTGTTGTTTAAATTTCAGACGCATGCGCACATTCACTTCACGTCAGTTCGTGACGAGCGTTAACCGTTCCATGTATTTCAGATTCTTCGTGCGGAAAATCGTAGATTTTTCTCGTTAGAAGTGAATCGCTAGTGCAGTCGAGTATCAGAAGCGTTGAGTCGTTATCGTCGATAAGTACAACGACATGTCAATTAACATCGCACGATATTGACGAGCCATAGTAGTGGCTGCGATATCGGTGTAACAACGGTTTTAAATCTAAATGCTATTGATGCGATGAAATGATATTCGGGATGCAAACTGGACGTTCTCTCGCGATTCTCGTTCCATTCAAGGCGAATCGCGACTACGAGGAATACCAAATTCATACTAAATGAGCGTCGTGGCAATCGTATCAGTTTTCAAAACCGCTTGTTGGATCGTCGAACGACCAAATAACTAAAACCAAAATTTCCGAAACTGATTTCGGAACGCAAAACTTGTGTTGCGTGAGTAACGGAAACGACGTGATGGCGGTAAGTGCAAATTTCGGCCATGTAAACGTGCAGACATTTTTACATTTACTCGCGACATTTGACGAGAGATATTCCCAATCAGAAAAAAAAATAAAAAAAATGTTTCTAAAAATATTAAAAAATATTTAAATAATATTTTCAAAACGTTAAAAATAATTTTAAAATTTTAGTTATTAGTGTAAAGTAAATATTAAATAAACATTAAATAAACGTTAAGTAAATATTTTTTCTTAACCATTACGATGGTGCATTATCGGTCAACGAAGAATTAATGTTAAATAAACGTTAAATATTTTTAAATAAATATTTTTTCTTAATCATTATTTTAAATGAAGAATTAATGTAAAATGTACATTAAATAAATGTTAAATAAATATTTTTTGTACAATAAACGAAAGAAATGTCAAAGAAATATAAAACAAATATTTGGAAAACATTAAAAAAATATTGTCTACTGATACGGATCCCCGAGATTGTTTTGTGCGAAAGTAAATCTCGAGTTTGTACGAATATTGGGAATGTCGAATTCATGCATGGAGAGGAAAAAGTTAGTTGAATGAATGTGGCTGTAAGCGAACCTACGTTTTGCTTGAAGGAAACAATATTTCTAGTTCTTATGAACCAAATGTTTCACAAGAACTACTGAATTAATGTCAGACGGGTCTCGTGCGTGATTTTTAAGTCTACTCGCGATAATAACGTCGACGGTATCATCGAGAGTTATACCGCGCATTTTTTTTCTCGTCGAAAGTGAAGTGTGAACTCGGGAGTGTTGGAATTGTCGAATTAATTTCGGGCGAATGTTGTGCGTGATCTTTGCGTTTATTTGTAATGATAACGCGAACGATACCACTGAGATTATTTTTACACATTTTGTTTACAAAATGTGTCGTGTGAGCACGTACAGGAGTGTCGAATTAATACCGAGCGAGAATCGTGCATAATTTTTATGCTTATTTGTAATGACAATGCAAACGATGTCAATGAGATCTTCCCGATTTCATTTTTATCAAAAATGTGTCACGTGAACGTGTACCGGAAGTGCCAAATCAATATCGAGCGAGTGTCGTAAGTGAACATTCTGCTTATTTCCGACATTGCAAACGAGACAGTGGACACGATGAGAATTTATTATTTAAAATAATTGGCAAATATCGAGCTTGTATCGGAATCGTGTGTGAAGGATCGCGCGACGAAATTGAGGTTGGGAATGCAGCGTGCTTACGGAACGACATGCATCGGTGAGTTAATTGTATTGTAAAACGCATCTTTTGGATACAATAGTTTATTTTTCATTATCGTCCAGCTCCAGTACATACAATATTTGATATATAATGATTCAATAATATTATTAAATACGAAGTACGAAACCTATCTAAACGCTAATTGTTCTAGATCGGTACTTTGTCTCGTGTTTATATAAATGAAACGCTCAATAGTTAATTTATCAATAATTATCAATATATATATATATATAATATGTATATAGATAAGTAAGCGTTTTGTTTTTCAATTTGTCGCAACTGCGAAGCGTCCGAACCTATCTGCGATAAATCAGATACCGAAATACATATTTTTTTTCTTTTTTTTTCATAAAAATTCCGCCATTACTATGCATCCGTTTGACGCGCGTGTCTCGGCTAAAGTCGTCTTTACGAAAGTCTATAGTAAAAACGTCAAGCATCGATGGGAAGACCACATTTCTTACGAAAGCTCAACACACTTGACGGGTTCGCGGACAATGCGATTGCGTTCTTTGCGTTGGAACGCCGGGCATATCCGCCGATTTTCGTGTATAATAAAAAGACATGGAATTGCAGCCTCGAAGAAACTGTAGATTCAGGTCATCGAGACACGTGGATAAATGGAATATCAGTGATTTCTCGAATACGAATTAACACGCCACCGTTAATTTTCCTTTCAGCGCACATATATGGTTCTTCATCGCTTTGACACTTTTAACGAACAAGGAAGCGACGATTGGCGCGTTAATTTTGTCATCGCTTTGTCCGCGAATTCGTTGGCTACCAACAAATGCACAAAGTAACATTTCGCTTCTGTTTCGCTGAGGGACTGTCGATGATGCAATGAATATTGTGCGACTTGGCCGTTTGGCACTCACGACGGTTGTATGCATGATAAACGTAAGGAAGTACCTAAGGTACGTCAACTGAACATGTGTTCTTTTCGTATTTATTCGATGCTGGTAACGTTTCGTGTATGTATGCGCGTGTGTGTGTGTGTATGTGTGTATGTGTGTGTGTTGATTTATTTGTTTGTTTGTCCGAATGTACGCACGTGTGTGTTCATACATATGGGTATATGCATATAAGAATCAGAAGTCGAAGGTTTTTCGAGATGATGTTTTATACTATTGCCTGGAGGTGAAAAACGGCTGTCAAAAGGAACTAATTCTTTAATGGAATTTTATTGATTCATACGATCATTCGACACTAAAATAAGTTTAAAATAAAAAATGCTATTAAATTAAAGGGTGCACTTTGGAGATATTAACAAAAAACTTTTTATTGTTTTTAAAATATCTCGGAAACGACGAAAAAAATATAAGAGAACTTTTTTGTAGGAAATAAAATTTGCCACAGAATAGGTGTATTAAAAATTTTTTTGCGATATCGGAAACCCAAGAAATAAAATTGAAACGAAATTGAAAAAGCGAAAATTTGGAAAAAACAAATTTTTTTACATTTTTGCGTACAACTTTTTTTTATCAGTCTAAGCGATTTTTTCGTTGTAAGATGAAAAAGTAGACATTCTAATGAACAAAATGCGGGGTTGAAAAAAATTTGACGACCAATAGTAGACCGAGATATCACTCACACAAGTTGAATGGTTTTAATCGGTTTTTCAGTGTTTTGCTTTTATTTTAATTTAATGTAATTTAAACTGTTTTTTATTAACTGTTAATGTCTCTAAAGTGCACCCCTTAATTTAATAGCATTTTTTATTTTAAACTTATTTTAATGTCGAATGATCGTATGAATCAATAAAATTCCATTAAAGAATTAGTTCCTTTTAAAAACACATAGACAATAGCCTATTTAGAGTATACAACATCAGAAGATACACGCATAAATTAGAGCTAGGAGACTATTCGGGCGTGAATGATATCCGATATTTGTCCTCCAACAGATATTGTGACACAAGATATGCAGATATGTATTGTATCGACTGTATTCCTCGAGTGGTTTGCTTACCGATAATGAAATTGCGACGAGCGTCGTAATGACTCCTCAGGGCCAACCGGTAACTTTTTTCATGTGCGTAAGTAAGCTTGAGGATATCGATCGTTCAAATTTCAGCATATGAAACATCGGAATTAATGTTATCAATTGGGTGATAGTAATTAGGTAACAACATAATCATAAATTCCGCGAAAGAAACAAGTCTCTCTTGCTTTTTCCCTTTTTACGCGATGAAAAACTCAGCGTCCTTCGAATCGTTTAGGCGAATCGTTTGGCGATGCAGACGCATTAATTATTTAATGTCGTGGAACGAGTCTCTTCTCGACCGTAGAAGTGATTTTGCATCGGAATAGAAAACAAGGTTTCTTGGAAGCGTCTAAGATTATAATCGATAAGCCGGGATCTTTCGTGGGCATAATCGAAATTTACGGATTAGGTTTTTCCCGGATGTTGAAAGATCGCGAAAAGCATCGATCATCGCGACGCGTTAGATAGACGTTAGTTAGTAGTCGATTAATTAGTCCCGCTGATAGGATCTTCTGCCATCTTACA